CAAGCAGGCTCCATGCTGTCAGTACAGAGCCCAATGTGGGGCTCGAACTCACGAACCTTGGAATCATGACCTGAGCCGAAGTCAGATGCTCAACTGACTGAGCCACCCAGGTGCCCCTAAGGTGTATTTTTGAAAAAATTACTCTGGCTGAAAATTTAAGTGGAAAAATTTGGTGTTTGTTTACATTTCCCAAAAGTGTGCTGGTTATTATCACCTCATCTTAAGTTGATGATTTACAGCTGAAGATGCCCCGCACATCTGTACTGACGCAGCCCCCTGGGGGAGTTGGAGATCAGCCCAGACCCATATCCCACCTGTGTGGGGAGCTCATTCTTTCTAGGGTGAGGGGTACAGAAAACAGAGGAGCAGGAGCTACGTTTTGAGATGGAAGAAGACACTGAGGGGCATGAAAAGCTGGAGCAGCCAGGGAGGATATGAAAACAGTCTTTTTAATGCACCTTGACATGGAGCTCAGACTCTTAAATCTCCTTTCCTGATTGTTCTGAGATGGGCTTTCTACCACATCCCCTAAATCTAGCTTTCCTCCCCTAATAAGTCTTACGGGTTATTGAACAGAACTCTCCAGACATCACTTACTTCCCCGGAGTTCAAGCCTTGGGAAGTTAGGTGTGATTGGTATGAAGTGTTCAAAAATGTTTTTGTGTGTCAATACTGGAGACCCAAGAAGAATGTGACAAACCGGAATCTGACTGAGAATGACCAGGTGATTGTTCTGGCCAGGGTCCTCTCCCCCGCACTAGGCTATGCAACATTTGGTAGACTGACCTGCTGTTAGGATGCTAAATCTGCAGAATTTGCTCAGAAATACTACAAGAAGTGTCTGGGAAGGCCCCCACCCTCCCAGATCCTGCCATCTTTCCACATTGCTCTTGCCATTTCCAAGCAGAGGGAGCCTGGAAGACTTCCAAAGGAAAGCTAAACAGGAAGCATATAATTTCCAAGGAGCTGACAGATCACTTTCAATCAGACCGCTTGGCTCTCATAACATTTCCGAGCTCATTCTCAGAGAAACACTCTCCCTCGTCAGCTAAGGCTCTGCTAAGAGGATTTACTCCCACAGCCTCACTTGGCAAAGCTACACAGAAGACTACTAAGTCTGCATCCCTAGGCTTAATTCTTCTCCACCATTCCAGAATCCAATTTTCAACTACAGGCTTGTCATTTCCTGGATACCCCATTGATGTCTTTCAGTCAACAGGTCCCAAACCAACTCATCATCTTCCCCTCTCCTGGTTTTCCTGTTTCTGTTAATGGAATCACTGTTCCCTCTGCTACCCTGGCTGGAAGCGTCTGAGTCATCCTTGACTCATCCTTCTCTCTTATTCTCTAGATCAAATCAACTGCCGAATCATGTAGTATCTATTTCCGTGATGTCACTTGAATTCATCCCCTCCTTCCTATTGCCACCATCTCTCCTCGGTGTGGGCTCTCATTACTTCCCCCTTGACAGGCACATCCTCACTAATAACCCACCTCCATACTGCTGCTGACATGAGGCTTCTCTCACATACACACTGACCAACACCTCCCTCTCCTACCATAGCCCATCATGGTTCTCACTGCTGCCACAGGACATATAAGCTGTGTTTTAGCTTATAAGGCACAATTCCTTTTCTAATACTCCATGTTCAAGGTAAATTTACTAATTCCTGGTGTGGGAAATTACTTTTTTTTTCCTTTCTTGAACCTTTTAGTAAATGATCTTGTGAAAAAGGAAGATCTTCTATTACTGAATTCTGTATTTACGCATTTATATGCTTGTTTTATCTCCTCAGAAGATTCTCCATTGCTGTAGTGTTTGCCTCACATAACAATTGAGCACATGTAGGTACCCAGTGCTGTCCTAAGACCTTCACCCATGTGGAAAAAAATTAACTCATAGCAATTCTAATAGTATCTCCCATTTTATCAGTGACAGACTGAAATGCAGAGAAGTCGAGTAACTTCCTGAGGTTCCATAACTAATAAGTGGCAGAGCTAGGATTCAGATTCACACAGTCTGGCCCCAGAGCCCATGCTCTTCACCAATGAACTCACATTGTCTTTGTTAGCTGCATTCCTGGTATCATAGTTTGGATTTAGCTGATGTTTTATAACTGAACTGAAACTTAAGGCATGTGCCCATTAATGGTCAGAAATATCAATGGTAGACTGAGTGTGAGATGTAACTTGATATCAGCAGCTGACTTAAGGTGTTTCCTAGGAAGTCACTATGAAGATGAGAAATGTCATCGTGCTAGCTTTTTTCCTACTTACCCTTTTGTTTTGTTTTGTTTTTGTTATTCCAGTACATGGGCTGTATCGAAGTGCTACAGTCAATGAGGTCACTGGATTTTGGAATGAGAACGCAAGTTACAAGGTAAGAGAACAAAAGTAAGGCAGACTTTTGAGTGCTGTGGTTTGAAGTCATAATAGTTTTTCCCTGCAGGTATTTCATGCAAGCCTCCAAAGTCACCATGGGCTTTTATTTGAATGGCTGGAAGGTAGGAAATAGCCCAGTGACCTTGGATGAGTGGGTTTGTCTCATCATGTGAAAGATTTCCCAGTTGTGTCATGGAGCATCTGCATTCCATATAATAACTGATAAGATGATGCAGTCATAGAAATAGCTGGTTTCCCAGGTACCAAAAGTACTTAAGATTATGTCTGGAAATTGAACATTATAGAATCTCAGACATGTTGAAGAAGTAGCTGGAAAGAAGACCGGGGAAGAATTTTCTGTGTCAGAAATCCCAAGTTCTCCCCATTTGTGAGACATGAGAACCCACTTACTCCTTGTCTGAGTCTTCTTCCTCTGTATACAGTGAGCTGCATGGAAGGGTTGAACCAGGGGAGCCTTGCCCAGGGCGGCCCTAGACAGTGTAGGGGAAGAACCAGAGTCATTACACAGAGCACAAGTCAGAAGCAGAAATACAAAACATGGTTCATTAAGGTCAAGTTCAAGGCAAGACTGGAAAGAGGAACAAGTGAATGCCCCCACTGGTAAGTGGGGTAATTGTGAGGTGAGGAGAAGAGGTGAGAGCACTGGGTTGATGTGAGTGATTTAGGATGAAGCCTTGGGCGTCTGTTCTGTGTGGTGCTACCGTGTGCATCTGTGGTTGCGGGCCACCTTTTCCAAAGGTGAATGTTCTCATTATGAAGAGAGGGGGTAACTCTTCCTAATACTCATCCCATGAAACTATAGGCCTGGAAAAGGTGTCCTGTGGTTCAAACTTTTGGGAAAAGGAATCCTATTGCTCTTTAGGAGAGTGGCAGTATCCACCAAAATATTAAAAACCCCAAGAAGCCCTGTGCAGTAGTTTAAAAAGTCTATCTCAAGATTGTCTAAACTTACATGGTTCCAGAGTCCTTTTCTCATGTAACATAAAGGAACATCCCACGGAACCCTAGCATTCCATGAAATGCTCTTTAGGAAATGCTATTTTAGACTCTCTGTGATACATTCAAATCTGTCTTCCCAAGTTCCCCAGCAACCTTCAGTATTTCCTTTGGAGTCTCACAGATGAAATCTAATTCTACTTTTGTTTTGTACCCTTGGTAGCCACCTCAGTCCCTGGCACTTGGAGGAGGCTCGCTGGAGGTTTATTGAATAAATGCGTGGTTCCACCTTACTACCTCCTGGGATTTGGAGATAGCTGCATTTCTTCTTGCTGGAGTTTTCTCTTTCTCAGTCCCTTCAACTGTCCTGCAAGTGACCTGGTGTCTAGATGACTTTCTCCTCTATTAGCTCTACTTTGGATGTGTCCAGGCTTTATTTTCATCCTCACAATCCTTAACCTGGAGAAAGCCCTTCCTCTGATGCCGAGCAGATTACAGATGAGAGGAAGAGAGTGGCCACCCCGGGTACCTGGAATGGGGGCACAGGACGAAGGAATGCCCACTGTCTTTACCTGAGGATGACCGATTTTGTGTTCATTCATCTACTCATTTTCTTTCACTCAAATATTTATGGAGTTCCCATTAAATGCCTGAAACTGCTCAAGAATTAAGGATGCAGAAGTGTCTGGCCTCAGGGAGTTTATGTTCTAGCTGGGGGAACAAGACTATAGCAAGGAAACAGATAAATATACAATATAGTTTCGTGTAGTAATAAGTGCCATTACTGTACTAATAAAGCAGGGTAAGGGGATAGAGATGTAGGGGGTGGGCTTTTATTTTTTAATTTTTATATTTCTAAAAAATTTGCGGATAACTGACATACAATGTTACAGTAGTTTCAGGTGTACAACATAGCGATTCAACTTCTCTACACTTTATGCTGTGCTCACCAAAGTGTAGTTACCATCTGCCCCGGGGCTGGGCTTTTAAATTTTATTTTCTGGGTATAACAATACCCTATGGTTACTTAGAACTATTTGGAAAATACAGAAACATATGAAAGAAGAAAATCACTCAGAATCTTACCTAAGATAATGTCTACCCACATTTTGTGTTTTGGATAACTTTCTGGTCTTTTTCTCATACATGAACTTACAGCGATTTTTATAGAAAATTTGGAAAATAGTTGATACTATTTCTACCATCTTGAGCATTTCTCTGTTGCTAAATATGCAGAACTATTATTTATTGTAATAAGATACGTGTCACATAAAATTTACCATCTTAACTAGTTTTAAGTGCACTCCTCAGTAGCATTAAGTACATTCATGTTGCTGTGCAACCATTGCTGCCATCCATCCCCAGAACTTTTTCATCTTCCCAGATGGTAACTCCTCGTTCCCTCCTCCCCTAGCCCATGGCAACCACCATTCTACTTTCTGTGTCTATGGATTTGACTACTCTGGGTACCTCATGTGAGTGGAATCATGTGGTATTTGTCCCTTTGTGACTGATTTGTTTCATTTAGCACAATGTCCTCAAGGTTTACCACTAGACCAAACAATATAACTGCTTTGAAAGCATTTGGTGTGTATTGCTAGATTGCTATGCAGAACTGACTGCTTGATATTCCTTTCTCTCAGTCATGTAGTATCTTTTTTTTTTTTTAGTATCTATTTTTTGCATCTTTGTGAGCTTGTAAGTCTATATTTTCCTATTGTTTAGTAAATGGTAACAGGTTATTTTGTTCTATTCCGTGAAGATTCAGTTTATAACTAATGTACACACCCCGGGGAAGGTGCCTTGTATGGTATCTAGGTATTATTCTTTGTGGATGTGTCCATGTGTGGCTCAGGCATGGTAGATTGTGCTCTGGGCAGGTTTGTGCAAGCTTAAGGGTCGTTTATTTTCTTGAAAACCTCAAATTCCTATCCCACTTCCCAAATATTTACTTTTCTTCTCTCTCTCTCTTTTAGCTCTTTCTCCTTTCTTCTCTCCACTTATATGTATTTTGACATTTGGTCAATTTTCAAGTTGCTTTATTACCAATGGTCTTAGATGTTATCATTAAAACATTAAGTTTAATCAGGTTTCAAGCTACTTTTTAAAATTTTTTAATGTTTATTTATTTTTTTTTTAATTTTTTTTTTCAACGTTTATTTATTTTGGGGACAGAGAGAGACAGAGCATGAACGGGGGAGGGGCAGAGAGAGAGGGAGACACAGAATCGGAAACAGGCTCCAGGCTCTGAGCCATCAGCCCAGAGCCCGACGCGGGGCTCGAACTCACGGAGCGCGATATCGTGACCTGGCTGAAGTCGGACGCTTAACCGACTGCGCCACCCAGGCGCCCCAAATGTTTATTTATTTTTGAGAGAGAACGAAACAGATGTGAATGGGGCAGGGGGCAGAGAGAGAGGGAGACACAGAATCTGAAATAGGCGCCAGGCTCTGAGCTGTCAGCACAGAGCCCGACACAGGGCTTGAACTCAGGAACTGCGAGATCATGCCTGAGCCGAAGTTGGACGCTCAACCAACTGAACCACCCACATGCCCCTAGGTTTCAAGCTATTTTAAATTTAAATGTCACATATTCACACAGTTTCACTTAACTCATAATCCTACTTAATCAAAGAAAAAAGATTTCACTGGACCAGTTAGAATTCCAAAAGAAAGAAGTCATTTTGTAGGACCACAGCTATCTCCCTATATTTACTGTCAAACATAAACATAAAATCAATCAGGTGTGAATGCTAATAAACTAGTGTATCTAACTGCCACTACAGATTCCAATGATGATATTTCAGGCTGATGTCCCACCCATGATAAATGGTCTCACCATCTCTAAATTAGTTAATATGTTATTCCAGATAATCGGGAGACAGTAACAGGAAATTCCTGAAAATAAAGGAGGAGCCATGATTTCAGATATAACAGGTGGGTCAGCATTTGAACACAGAAGAAAGGTGGAGTAGAATTCTTGTCTTCGTGACGGACTTTTCTGCCAATTGTTTGAGGCCTCAATGCACAGGGTTTCTAGAACACAGAGAATACTCAAATAGAGCAGAGAAAAGAAGAAAAGGACAAGAGGCCATTCACTTTCTCAGCAGTTCCCTGGATCATACCCTTTCAAAGCTTCCATCATGCCCCTCCACTTTGACTCCAGATTTAGTCCCCCAAAAAAGTCCCGTGGGTGGCTTTTACTGTTGTTCCTGCACTAGTTCTTACCCAGGCGTTTATTCTCTTGACTGATTTAGGATGGGAGCTTAGTTTTTAGTAATCAGGTATTCAGGCAAAAGGGCAAAGGAGGAGGTTTTCCTGGTAGAAAAGAGAAACAAGATCATTAGGATGACAAAGACTCACAGCCACAGTTGTCTTCAACTTGTTCTGAAAACAATAGCAATAGGAAATAAGAGAAAGGGAAAGTGAAAATCATGACAAGGATGATATAGTCATTTGCTCTCCTGTAAAAGGGTTTCTATCATGGTTTTTAAAACAAAGCTAAAGAAAACAAAAACCCTCATTCAATCTAAATCGGGGCACACACACGTGCATACACACTCACAAAATAAATCAGGTCATTAAAACCTAACTCCTGGTTTCCCTCCTTTGAGTAAGCATCCACATCTTGCAACGGAGAAAAAAATCTTCCCTCTCTCCCTAGAGGTGCCTCCTTCTTTGTGTCTAGCTAGGAACCTACCTCAGATACTGAAGGAGGAATAAACACGTGTATCAGGGTGGAGCCACCAAGTGGAGCTGGTGGGACAGGGCTTGACTTTCAACTCTAAAGAACAGAACTTCTTAGGAAACTGTCAAGGGGACAGTTAGTTCATTGCATTTATTGTAGGACATCACTTACTTCCAGGGGCAGGACACAGTGCTGGTGGGAGGGATCTCCAGATCACTGTCTTACTATTCTCTCTGCTTCCTGTATTTACTGTCTTATGTTTGTAACTCATATTTGGTAATTAAATCAGCCAGGCTAAGCATGAGACACCCAGCATGGGATCTGCCCACGCCAGGCTCCAGGACAGCTGGGAAG